GGCGGCCGACCGATGGCGCTAGTCTCGATGTCGTAAACCGTAACAAAATTGGCATCTCTGGTCAGCACAGCACGGCATGCGACGGAGCATGGGCGTAATAATATATATGCCGTGTTTTGGACAGTCACATCGTGACGTCACGCTGTGTTCGATTTTTGCTGTGATTTTGCTGTCAATATTTGATATAATAAGTCGTGCGGTATTCCTGCTGCATTACCGTTCTCACAATGTGAGAGCAAATTTGTCATATTTCTAACTACATTTTGCTAATTTAATATAACATCATGTCAAATCTAGCTCTTTGGTTTATTTTTTGTTAGCATGTTATGATGCAGTGTCTTTAGAATTTTTGCTGTATTTTTGTTAACGCTAGTTGAAATGACAGATCGTGCTCGACTGCTGCCCGATTTTTGCCAACATAACCCAGATAGACAAAAAGATGTCTTTTAGACTTCTAAAAGACTTCTCACCATGTCTTGCGATATCTTGCATTTTTTACGAAAAGATGTCTTTTAGGGCCCTAAAAGATGTCTTATGCAATAGTTTAAGATATCTTTCAGATATCTAAAGATATCTGGAAGATGTCTTTTAGATATGTGAGAGATGTCTTTAAGATGCTTGAAGATATCTAGAAGATGTTTTTTAGATATGTGAGAGATGGCTTTAAGGTGTCTTAAAGATATCTTTTAGATGTCCTGAAAATATCTTTTTAATGTCTTGAAGACATCTTAAAAAGTAAATAATATTTGTGGAGCAAACAGCAACTTTTAATTAATAAACTTAACATTGTCATGCTGTGTTATTCGTTTTCTAAATATGGAAAACGAATGGAAACCATCGTCATGCTGTATTTTTAATATAAGAAAAATATAAAATCTTTTTACTTTGAAAACACATTTTTTATTTATTTATAAAACAAATATAAGATAACTGATGAATATTCCAATTGAAATAAATATGTAGAAGATAGTGACTGCTGTTTGACATGGAATTTAATCAGACAGACACCTCTAAGCACAACATACAATACGAAGCTGCATTTAAAAACATTAGTTGCTCGAAATAGACAGCCTTTCGTGTTCGGGATTAATGCGACCCGAATTTGAAATCTGCACTGAGGTACATCTGTTATCATGATACAATATGAATTCTATATAAATTCTACTTCTTTCGCTCGTTTATTACAACGATATAAATTGCTAGAAATTATCGTTTTTTAGTTGCTTGCAGAAACAAATGCAAACATAAAGAAAAAAAGAAAAAACATACTTTAAAAGAAAATACTTTTGTCTGTTTACAACTATAGTTATTGCAGCAAAATTGTATTTTTAATATGACAAAATTGTAATGACTCAAAATACATTCAAACTCATTTTCTGGAAAGCTTTGTTTTTTTGAGTTATTACAGTAAATGAGCGATATTATTTTACATTACATTTTATATTTTAATGTGAAATAATACTGTCGGTTATTTGACTATCGTGTAATTAATAATTAATGACATATGACATACATTCGGAAGGTACGTTGTCAACACTATTACGTCATTATATCTTTATCATTATATGTAAAACAAGAGGGTCGATTATGTATCATGAAACGAGGTGAAAATTACAAAAGTGAACAGATGTTGACAATGAAATTATAAATATTCTAATAAATCACTCACTTTTGTTATTTTCTTCTCGTTTCACACTGTTAGATATCAAAGGAATAATGGAACTCAATTCCTTTAAATAACAAAGTGTTGTTTAATTTAAAGAATTGGGTCTCATTATTCCTTTGATATCTAACAGTGTGAAACGAGACAAAAGTAACAAAAGTGAATGATTTATTAGAATTTCATTGTCAACATCTGTTCACTTTTGTAATTTTCATCTCGTTTCATGATACATAATCGATCCTCTTGTTTTACACATAATGATAAAGATATAATGACGTAATAGTATTGACAACGTACCTTCCGAATGTATATCCTATGTCATTAATTATTAATTACACGATAGTCAAATAACCGACAATATTATTTCATATTAAAATGTAAAATGTAATATAAAATAATATCGCTCATTTACTATAATGACTCAAAAAACAAAGCTTTTTAGAAAATGAGTTTGAACGTATTTTGAGTCATTGCAATTTTGTCACATTAAAAATGTAATTTTGCTGCAATAACTATAGTTGTAAAGGGACAAATTTTATTTTCTTTTAAAGTATGTTTTTTCTATTTCTTCTTTTGCATTTTTTTCTGCAAGCAACTAAAAAATGATACGTAAGATAATAAGTGGCTTAAAATTATACAAGGAATTAATAAGGAGCATACAGCTACAACGCCAGTTATAAGTAGCACAAATATATTCAATTTAAATCAAGTAAACGTTTCGGTCACCGTGTGACAATCATCAGTACAATCAAATTTCATATTAAAACAATATATAAATTATCAAACAGCAATTGTACAAATCAAAAAATTTTTTTCGTTCGCAAAAAAATTAATAAAAATACGACGCTCAATAGTAAGAAATCGTTCAAGTCCAAACACAACAAGAATTTTTTAGAAGAAGTTGAACATCAATGTCAATTTGTTATAATATAGAAGATATTTCCATTTAAATATGCGATTGCCAGATGCTAAATATCCAAATATTAATTGTAACCAAACCAAAAACAGAAACAAATCAAAAAAATTTTTTTTAGAACTATAATATGTTTAAAATCTATTAATATAAATTTGATTATTAATCTCTATCGTATTAACAATTTTATTTACTCACCACATATTTGCTGATATATGTATTAAACCAAATCGTCACAGATTCATCTTCCACAACAAAATTCTTTTAGATAATCAAACAGAACATACTTTTAAATTTAAGAGATTATAATTTTTTAAATAAATTATCGTTATAATGAGAACAACATTCTCAAGCTAAGTACATTGTGACCGCTTACCAGTGTACAGGCAGTATTTATATTTTATTATTAGACAAAGAGAGTAGAGTTCTGGAAGGAGTCAACCAATTATGAGAGAGGGGGGCATTTGCTAATGATAGGAATATATACATCAGGAAACCGTTCCGTGTCACTCTGCTTATTTAAACTTTTTCTTTGTTTTTTTATGTGGATCATCTCCGAGACCATTCTTTTATAGTAAGATTGTTCAGAATCAACTATATTGGTATTATCCCAATCTATTTCGTGATTAAAATCTAGTATATGCTTCGAAATGACCGACAAATTATTCGTTGGTTTTTTATAGTCATTTTTGTGTTCTTTTATTCTAGTTTTAAGCTTGCGTTTAGTTTGTCCAATATATGTAAATTCGCAGTCTTGACAACTTATTTTATATACTACATTTGATTGGTCTTCTTTTTTAATTATGTCTACCAGTTTTTATAACAGAACTTAAATTATTTATAGGTCTATGAGCAATATTAAAATTAAATTTATTTGTAATAGATATGAATTTTTCAGAAGTTTTTGAAAATACGGAATGGTGAAATACTTATTCGAAATATTAGTTGAATCTATATTTTTGCTATATTCATTAATACAATCGAAAGATTTATTGTAAGATAAAGATTTTATTCTGTTATTAATTGTTGAAAACAGAAATTGAGCCACATCCAGGCTAGGAGACAGGCAGGCTCCAATTAACACCGCTTCTCCCGCGACAAAGTCATCGTTCTTATCCAATATTGTTGTTGGCAGTGGGTTTTCCACTCTTCTCCGTGTCACCGCCACCGACCTCTTATCGTTCGCCGCCCAATTGTTATTATTGTCCGGAACCCAATGAGGCTCCGAGACAACCGCAATCACATGACCACCCTCCGCCATGGTCTGGAGGAGCATGTTATGCTCATGACGGGAGTGGTTAATGTTCGCCTGTAAGACTTTGTTAGGCATTGATGTCACTAGCAGACGTCCCGTCCTTGTGCCCTACATGTGATGCGTCCGTAGGCACGTGGGACAACGAGTCCTCCTATTCTCCATTCTCCACCCATTTGCCTGAGTGTTTACCCGGGGGGGGGGGGCCTCCTCCATCTCCATGGGTGTTGGTGCCGTACTTATACCCTTCAGGCGAGGAATACTTGCTGCTCTTTCCAATGGGTTCCGGGTCATATCCGCGGTACCGTCCTCTTCCACAGTCTTTGACAGGGAAGTCTGATCATCCAGTCCTCCCTCCTGGACTCGTCGCTTTCTCACGAGGGGGGCTTACATGCTTTACCCTCCATCCTATGATCCGCCCGCACACCGCGGTCCGCGCAGATCACACAGTGAACCGGGACCGCGCACGTTCTGGCCAGGTGACCTTCTCTCCCGCAGCGATAACAGTTGCTGCTTCTGTCAACATTGGCCTTGCATTCGGCCGTCACATGCCCTTGCTCCAAACACCTGAAGCACTGTAGGGCCCTAGTCGGTATCATTTCTACCCGGACCATGGTCCAGCATATCCTGAGTCGAGGGGTGCACGTCACTGCTCTGGCGGAGAGCAGAGGACACCTCAGCCATGCTGTACCAAGGCCGTTTGGAGTCCTGGTTATCTCCCCCATCTTTATCTTTATCTTGCTATCTTCAGGGATTTCTGAAAAGTCCCCTTTAAATTCGAGGAGGTCCTCGCAATGCGCACCACCTCCATTCCGTGGCTTTCCCGATCAGGTTCTCATTGGTGTCATGTTCCATACTTTCCTTAATCTTTTCCAGGTCAATTTTGGCCTTTTTGAAAAGCTCCTCCTTATCGAGTCCTCTAACCAGTGCCTCCCTTTCAAGCTGGAGGCTTTTTTCTTTCTCTTCGTTCACCATTCTGATGGTTGCCGCTCGCCCAGAATAGTATCCGGTTGTCTGATACGTCCGAGTGGCCCTCTTGTCACCTTGGGTTGTGTACACTAGGTTCGCACCGCCCTTCTTTTCAGGGGGCTCATTAGAATCCCTTCTAATGTATCTTCGTCAGACGAGATCGTATACGATGCCGAAGCTGAAGCCGAAGCCTTGCTTCTCTTCCCTCTGCTTCCTCGTACTCCAGTGGACTCCCTTTGGATCCTCTCACTTCTAGAAGACACCAATGAGGCATACGTATCCTCGATGTCTTCATAAGACCCATCTCCTTTTTTGGTCTCAGTTCTTTCCACAGGGAATACGCTGATTCTGCCCGCAATTCCGCCGGACCCTCGCGACGAGACGGAGTGATCGTCCCCATCCGAATCCGCAGTAACCATGACTGCTCAGTCCCACCCGGCTTTACCGCCTCTTGGGTTTCCGCTTTTTCTCGCTTCTGTTCGAGAGGGGGCCTACCCGACCCCTTCAATGACTTTGGTCCCGGTCTATTTCTCGGGTGGGCATTGGGACTGTCCCGCCTGGTCAGACTGGCCTGGCGGGGGAGAGTCACCGCCCTTTCCTCCTCTGATACGCAGCACCTCGCCGTTCACCCTGTCCTTGGTACACTATTCACCTTCGTCCAACTCAAACATCTGTATGTGATCCTCAGCTGGGATCATCTAAAGATCCATGGCATGGTCTATGGTCTTGTCCGAGAAGGTCGTTTCAAAATACGAGTCTTCGTCGTCGGAGCTAAACTCCGAATAGCCACCTTTCTGGAAGAAACTGTTCTTCCCCGCACCGTCACCCTCCTCCTGATTCTTTTTATGGTCATTATTCATTGCAAGTTGTCCCCAACCCCGCAGCGGCTCCGCCAGCCAGGGTATACCCTCACCTCTCCCCAGGAAATGAGAGAGGGCCCCAAGTTCCCCCGGAGAACTGGCATATGGCTCGGGTTCCCGGAATGTTACATCGAGGAAACTGGCCTCCAGCCCCTTACCGTGGACGGCACCGCCCGGTTACCCACGGCTTTCAGGGGCCTCCCGCCTCCGACCTCGGGAGCACCGCTGCGGGTGGCGCCACCCATGGGTCGGGTCACAGAGGCGACGCCCCCTCTGGAACCTTGCAACCGCCCGCTACTTTTTACAAGCAGCCAAATAATTATAGAAGGGCTGAATTAAGGGGGAAAACCACTCTAGAATTTTCAAAAAATCAATTTTTTTTTTTCGCTTAAAAGGTGCCTAAAGGTCATAAAAATAAGATACAACATCATTTATAACGTGGAAAATTTTTTAAGTGCCTGTATTTCGATCCCGACCGAAGCCACCTGCTGCGCGCTCGGAGCAGGTATAAGACTCGGCGCGACGCGCTACGATTCTTATCATTTGGGATGCTTATGCTTGCTTGGGTAATAAAGTATTACTTACCTGTTTCATCTAAGAGGTCATAGATAGCAGTAGTAGTGCTACCGAAAGTAAATAATAGTTCTAGTTCAGTCTTCAGTGTCGGTGTAACCGTTAAACGCTATTCGCACGACACGTGTGTTTTTTCTCCGCATTTCGTTAAATTTTGTGGTTTTTGTCGGTATTTTTTGAGTGTACTAATATAAATTTGCATCATGAATGACAGTAATCGTTGTCGAAAAGGGACAAAAATGAGCAGCGGATATGAGAAAAGGCGAAAATCATCAAGTAAGCGACCGTTGAACCGATTTGAAATGGAAATGCCGGACGATGCGAATGTTAGTACATCTGCAAGAAAATTGAAAGACTCCGGTGATGACTACGACATTGAAGTCGATAATACTATTAGCTACTGCATGTTAAACTTTATTACAGTTTTTACGGCTATTTCGAATGCTGTTGTGTGTAAAGAGTGTAAATCAAATGTAACATTTACAGAAAGTGGAAAACGTGGCTTAGGCTTTAAAATTGTCATTTCTTGTGCAAACTGTGATAAAAAGGAAGTGCCGAATTGCTCATTTGTTGACAAAAGCTACGAAATTAATCGCAGAATTATTCTGGCAATGCGGATGCTTGGCGTCGATCTGAATGGAACAATGAAGTTTTGCGCGTTTATGGATTTACCAAGGCCGATTTTTCAATCATTTTACGACAAGGTAGTAAAAACGATTTCTATCGCATCAGAAGCCGTTTGTAACAAAAGTATGAATAATGCAGCTGACTTTGAAAAGAAAAGATCAATTGAAAAAAAACAAGAACATGGAATAAGTGTATCTGGTGACGGAACGTGGCGAAAACGCGGATTTTCATCGTTATTCGGTTTAGTAAGTCTAATTGGCTGGTGCAGCGGAAAAATAATCGATTTCGTAGTAAAATCCAAATATTGTAGAAAGTGCGAACACTGGAAGAAACAATTAGACACCGAAGAATTTGAGGAATGGTATGAAAATCACGCAGACGAGTGCGATGCGAATCATGAGGGATCTGCCGGAAAAATGGAGGTCGACGCAGTGATCGAGATGTTTCATCGTTCAGAAGAATTGTATAAAGTTAAATATGCCAATTACATAGGAGATGGCGATTCCAAAACTTTTAAAGGCATTTTAGATTCTGATCCTTATGAAAATTTTACTGTTACAAAAAAAGAATGCATAGATCACGTACAAAAGCGTATGGGAACTCGTTTACGTAATTTAAAAAAAGCCACAAAGGGCCTAGGAGGAAAAGGAAAATTAACCGGAAAATTAATCGACGAATTATCGATTTATTATGGCCTGGCGATACGTCGAAACCACGACTCAATCGAAAAAATGCGTAACAACATTTGGGCAACTCTTTATCATAAGATTTCTACGGACGAAAACCCGCAGCACGAACAATGTCCGCCCGGTGAAGATTCGTGGTGCTCGTGGCAACGAATGAATGCCACCAATACATTGGAAGAACATCATCATAAAATACCAATTTCCGAAGAGGTATTCAAAGCCATAAAACCAATATATGAGGAATTAAGCAGTGATGATCTTCTCACTCGATGCATCGGTGGCTACACACAAAATAGCAACGAGTCTTTCAACGCAACAGTGTGGGCAATGGCTCCTAAATCAATGTCTAGTGGCAAGACAATTCTGGATATCGCCACACATATTGCTATTTGTGTATACAACGACGGAATGACCCCGATTATGGAAATTATGCAGACATTGGGAATCAAAATCGGACGAAATTGCTACAATTTCTGCATCGAAGCCGACGAACGCCGCGTATTACTGGCTGAAACGAAACTGACTGACGCAGCAAAATTGGCTAGGCAAGCATCAAAATCGACCAGAAAGGAAGAAGATCAGGAAAATACCAATTTGGAAGGCCAATTATACGGGGCAGGCATCGCAGATTAAAGGTATACAACACATTTCTATGATTTTTTCATAAGAAAAACTTTAAACGCGTTTTTCTCAAAACTAGTTTTTTCGACACGGCCGGAAACACAACTCGTTATCGATTGACTTGAAATTTTGACAGTATCTTTTAAACAAGATTATCTAGAGAAAGACGTACGGATTTTTGTTTATGTTGCATATTTCATTTGTTATAAACAATTTAGTGCATATTTTTTAGGCGAAAAAAAAAACGATTTTTTTTCAAATGTCCACCATTTTTGTAAAAAGTGATAAATAAAAATCCCTACGTCTTTCTCGAGCTTTTGGTATGTAAAATTTAAAAAATTTTGAATTTTTGTTGCAGAGTCAAAATTGGAGGAAAAACTTTTCCGGCCGCGAGGCCCTACATTTATGGCGTGCGTTCAGTCAACCACCTGCACAGCCGCCATTTTGTTTTCGATCGCCACAAAAAAAATTGTATAAAGGCTTCAATGTCTAGTCAATAAAGACCCCTAAATATAATTTTCATTTTTTTCGTTGTTATCCCTAAAAAAAATCTTGAAAGTAGGTTATTTTTCGACGCCCTAGAGTGGTCTTCCCCCTTAATTACAGATGGATACAAGCCAAATAACCACATTGACAACAGCTACAGCTGCAGCGAGAAAATTATTCGAGCCAGCACCACAGGAGAAAACCTCAGATGACAGCGGAGAGTCTTCAGAAAAACCCGATGTCGAGGAAACCAGTCAGGAAAATTAATGATAACCTACAAAAAACTGCGGAATATTTAATAAAGTCTATATTATGTTACTAGTACACTCGTGCGCCATTATATATTGTTTTAGTTGCTATTTTAATTATTTTAAACAAGGTCAAGCCGCACACACGGTGTACACAGTTTACACACATTATATTAATTATTTCAATTATTTCATAGACTACACAAAGTCAATACATATATATTAAACACAACAACTTTTATAGCAATAAATATTTTTTACTTTCTTATTCTGGATTTCAATAATAAATGTACAACTTACCTGAATATCCTACAGGGTAAATAAATAAATAAAGGTGATCCATTCCAATCCAGTTGACAGCTTAAAATAAAAAATAAAAAGAAATTAAATAAATGTAACACGAAAAGATAGAGATAAAAATAATAAAATTAACTTGTACTTACAAATAACTTACACTGTGATTGATGTGGAGATCCTAAAAACATAAATATGTGTTAACATACGCCGAAGGCGATTATTTGAGTTAAAAAGATATTAAAACCGACTTACCATAATTATTTCATCACAAGGGCATCTAAGCCGAATTATTTTGATTATTTGAGAATTATTTAGAGTGTCTAAAATAATTGGAACATATCATATAAGTTAGAAAGAG